TCCCTGCCTTTATTGGCAAAACACCTGTCTTTCAAACCAAGACATTGGGTTAAATATTAATTAGGATTTTTATAGATAATTCTGCAGAAACTAATGTTTAGTCCTCAGGGAGGTTCAAAAATGAAAGTACAACCTTTAAATCTATTCAGAAAAGCATAGAAGATAAAACAAAAAGCGTCATTACCGTATTTTAAACATTTTTGGTGTACCTGCAACTTGACCAGCATGTAATGCTTGTTCTCTGCTTTCAAAATGAGATAAAAACCAAGGAAGATATAGAGAAGAGCAGCAAGGAAAATAAAAATGTTCAGTAGGTTTGCCTGTGAGAAAAGTGGAAAGAGGACTGCAAAGGGACAGTGGAGGTAGTATGTTAAGCATCAGGGATTGGGGAAAGAGGTTGGAGAGCTATTTGCCACTGTTTCTAAATGTGCAAAATCTGGGAGCAAGAGGAACTTTTCCACTATGGACCTGTTCAGCTGTGAAACTCAGGCCCAGGGGACACCATAAGCAAACCAACAATCTAGGAAAGCATTGACTTAATTTGACAGGAAGTAAGTCATATACAATTACTTCTTTTAAAGTAACAGACCAATATTTTAGTACTTAGTGAGTGCATGTTGCAATAATAAGGCTATTGAAAACATTTCTAACAAAATGTCTATTATATTGTTTAGTTAATTCATACATTTGGTTTTAACTAGAATTGCAGCTGCTGTCAATGTAGTGTGGCCTGTGTGATGATTCCATAATGTTTTCTGTCTGCCTGTGAGTAGTGCCATTACAGAAAAAGCCTCTTTATCTCTTCTGCTATTTCCTATTCCAGCTCTGGGAAATACGTTGAATCTTCTTCATTCTTCCTCTCTCATCAAATACCTTACCTCTCACTGCATGTTCCTCCGTTTTCTTGTGTAAGGCACGGAAATAGTATTCTGGGTTGTGAGTAGGCCTCCTGAGGTGATGCAGTTGAGGTTTGATGGCTGGTGGTGACAAAGGAAGAACAATGATGGTTACCGTGACTAGCTTTCACTCACTGGTGGAAAAGAAATCGATTCCTCAGAAGCTGTATCCATCCTATTCAGCACAGTCTGTCTGTGTAAAGGAGGGTTTCTGAGCCTGAGAGCCAGGATTCTTTTAGGTTAATGAGTAGTTACAGACAGTTAGGAAAAATTCACAGAAAAAAATATTTTGAAAATATAAATCATAAATATAGATGCAAAACTCTAAAATGGGGCATCTCAAAACTTGAAATTAGGGGAATTAGGCACTACAGAATTCTGGATCTTGAAATATCCTTATTTAGACATCTCAGCAGATAACATCAGTACAGGAAGGAACATTCTCATGATTAGAAAGCAACAGTTTAGACAGTAGATGAAACTGCCAAAATTAAACAAAGAATCAACTTTATATTTACCTATTGACATATACACAGTGAACCGCCTCATTGTTTTCAAAGCATTGCTGATCAAGGTAATTTTGAGGTAATAAATGTGAATTGAGATATTGTTTCCCAGAATTCATGAATAGGTGAGTCTGAGGCATTTTGTCTGATTTTCCAAAAAATTACAGGCCATTGTGAAAGCTGGAAGTGGTCTACATATGAATCTGACCCTTTTCAACTTCTTGACTCTGTTTATTTGAATCTACGTTTTGCTTTCTTACYTCTTTACATAGACTAAAATATTAAACATGACCACAAAGTATTTTCATCTTATGCTTAGTTATTATAAAATAACAATTGAATAATTAGTGTGATAAGGATTTTAAAAGTCATTGCTCTTATCAACAATCCTAAGGACGATAAAAAAAACTCCACTGTGGGAGCTAGCTAACATCACAGATTCAAGTACTAGAATAGTCACACTCCCATCTTGCTAAACTCCTCAAGTGATTAATCATACTCTAAAATGTCTCAGGAAAGAAAGAGCAGTGGATTTTCTAAATATTAGAAATGCACATCCAGATTTTTGCATAATCAGAATCCTTATTGTTCTCAACTGGATTAGTTTCACATTCATTAAAAGGTTGAAAAATACCCAGGGGAACTACTGTTCTTGGAGGCACATTCACTTTTCATATTAATTCCATTTTTTTGTTCTCAGCATGCATTCAGCCAAACTGTTATTGAATTTTCCATTGCTCACTGTGGGGAACTGTTTATTGTTACCAGGAATTTTATTGGTTATTGTGCCAGAAGAGATGACTATGCTAATAAGCTTAAGGGGGTTTATCCAGAACAGTGACAGTGCTGTCTATCATCTTCATAGAGATGTGGATAAAGGAGATTAATGACATTTATTTTCCTAGGACTTCAGTGCATCAAAGTGATGGGCAGAAGACTCTGTCAGGACTCTAGAGTTCTGTTCCCAGATTTCTGACTGACTTCCTGTCTTACCTTGACTATAACTTTTACTCCAGTTTGTCTACATGTAAAAATGGAATAAAAATTGCAATACTTACCTGACAGGGTTTTAATATGTGACTTCAATAGGTTATGATTATCAGTACCTTCATGCATGCAGTGTTGTAAGTTGTTTTGGTTTATTTTTATTTTTTTTTATTTAATATTATTTAATTTTATTTTATTTTAATTTAGGGATAATAACTCTTATTTTTTAAGATCATGTCTATCATCAAGGCAATGAAAGCAGAGATTACATATTTGGTAACACTGTGTTGGCAGTGCCAGTGTACTACCAGCAGTGCCAGTGTAGACTAGAATGGTTACACAAGCAGCACCACTCAGACTGTGTGCTGTCCAGACACTAACTCAGCAAGGAGACTGAGTGCATTAGCCACTCTGTTTGCTCTGACTGATGGGATGTGCAACCCATCATCTTACAAATCACCCTAACCAAGTCTGAGGTTTATCATACACACAGTATTTCCTCTTAGCCCTTCTTTGATACAACTTTTTCTTTGATTCTTGTAAAGACACTGGGTTTAAACACCTGGGCCTGTGTCTACATCATGCCTTGATTTGAATAAGAGATGAAAGAATGAATGTCAGAGCTGACACTTAGTAGGAAACATGCACTGGGGGAAATCTTCTTACTCCCTTTTGCAGCCTTTGGCAAGAAAGGAGGTTTTCTGCTGTAATTATCAGAAAGATTTGCAGGATGAAGGAGCGGGAGAAATTTAGAGTGATTCAAGAAAGGCTATAAACTTGAAGAGGCTCAGTCTCCTAAGAGTGTTAAGGAAATCTGTGGTTATACAAAATGCACTATTGTCCAATGAGACACCTCAAAGTTCAAAGACAGCTACTTAGTGGTCAGTCACTATAACACTAGAGAGATCTTCACCATAATTTCCTGTGGTGCCAGGAGCAGAAGATGTAAGAAAAGGGATGCAGAGATGTTCCAAGTGCTTTGAAGCACTCACTAGTGTCCTGCCAGGCATGGGAAGAATTCTTTCCCCCTAAGGACATGTGGCCCCTGAGATAGCTCCAGACTGAGGGACAATAGGGGTTGGACATCTCCTGGGAGGTTCGATATGGATCAGCCTGTCTGATGATGTGGAAGTGGATTTTTCTCACATGCTCAGGGAATAGCCAGTTTCTATGTAATGCTGAGGTCAGAAAGGAATTTTCCTGCAGGGCAAATTTTTACTCATCCTGGGAGGTTTTTTGCCTTCCTCTGCATTATCAAGTATGACCACTGATCAGGCTCCTCCAGTCCCTTTTGGCAAGGTGACTACCTGCTGCTCATGCACCACGAAGATATCCTGTTGTGCTCCACATCCGTACTTCTATAATCTTCTTCCTTTGTGTGGTTGTTCCTCAACCTGATTATTTGTGTTCTCTTCAGGAAGCAGGGTCTGCTTGGCTTGTATTCCTTTTGCTGCTTTCTTTAACTCTTAAACTGATAGACTGCAAAAAAAATTTTTTTGAACTAAACTGAAATGCAACACCCAGCTCCTGGCTACACATGGGCATTGTGTTAACATTTGTGAGCAGTGGTTCTGATATGGTTTCAGAAAAATAAAAATAAATAAACCCACCCACTTCCAGTTGTAGCCTTTGTGTTTTGTGTCCTTAAAAGAATTTTTGGAGCTGAAAAACTCATGGCTTTTCAAGCAAATAAAATTGTTATTCATCATGCAAGTAGTGGTGCACAGGGAATAGAGATAGAAATATAGGAGAATAGAATAGAGCATATTACTCCTAGAATTCTGTATGACAAGCTAAGATCCAGGTCTGAGGGCTCCAGCTCTCTGCAGTGCAAGGCCCAAGGCTCACCCAGGAGACAGGGACAGATATGACCATGCCTACAGCAGGGCTCAGGCAGGGACTGAAGGTCCCACACTGAGCTGGGACACATCCCCTGGATCCCAGACAGGAGATGGTCAGGATCTTAGGTAAGGCTGGTTCCAGACACTGAGGCCTAACACAGGTGCACTTCCGTGACCCTGACAGAAGTAGATCTTCAAATGTTTCCAAGATGCAGAAATGAAAATATGATCGCTCAGTGATTGCAAATAATAACAGCCCGGGTATATCAATATCCCTACTGTGCTTTCTCATCACACTTAGCCCAGGTTCCTGTAGAAATGTTTTGTTCATCCTCTTTGCATTGAGAGAAAGGAGTCACTCCAAGATGCAGCAGATGTGCCCAGGGCATCTGGGCTCCCTGTGGTGCTGTGAAATGTTACTAAGTGGCCAGTAGACTCTGTTTTCACCACTGGTCAAGTCAAGGTAGGAACACTGTCAGAGCTCGCTCCTGTACACAGCTACCTCGCCTCATAAAACTTGACCAGCTTTGTAACCCCTTGGTCACAAAGAGGTGGATTCTTCCCTTCTCACACTTAAAACTGACAAGGTACAGATTCAAAACATAGCAGTGAGGAAGACTGACCAACCTGCTGGCAAAGAGATGGACTGGATCATGCATACACATGCTTTTTTTAGTCAGACTCACTCCTTTCAAAGTGATATTAAACAATATGTGATAAAGCTTTGCCTTTTCATTCAAGATGCTGCATGCAATTTGCATAAACAGCAGAAAACAATAACTTTTTCTCAATTAGAAAACCCTGTGTGTGTGTTTACAGCAGACTGTTCCTTCACTACATATTAGTGGCCACTTCCAGCAAAACCCTCCCCCCCAAGAAGATCTATATAGAGCATCCAGAAACAATACAATTGTGGCTGTAAATAAATTATGTCATCAGCAATGGATTATATACATGGAAAATGTTGTAATATTACGTACTCTTGAGCATGTAGTGTGGATAACTGAACAGAAAGCTGATTTGCAAACTATACCAGAGCAAACAGATTGCTGTATAAGCCATGGTAACAGGGCATGAGTAGGAACTTACTAGTGTTAAAATAGCCAAATATAAAAAACAACCCTCTGTCCCTAAACCCATTGGTGCCAAAACATACACTGAGGTGGTAGGTCTCTAAAAAGAGAGAGACAAAACACAGGCTAGTCATTTCTGAAAATGCCACACAGAAGCACTTTTCTATAATTAAACGTGATGTTGTCTCAATGGGTGTTGCTGCTGGAAGCAAGGCCTGATGGGCAGGAAATCCAGTTTCCTTCTGCAATAAAGGGACACTATTAGGTTGATGACTCCCCTCCTTTGAAGGTGGATCTTCCCTACCTCTGTTTTTCTAATGAAAACAGTTAACAGATGCTTATGTAGGGAGATATGTTTAAAGGGGAGTAAATCTTATCATTCCCAAACAAATGAGGAAACTGGACACACAATAAGAATTTGAGCAAGGTCATTTAGCAAGTCATCAATAATTAAGGGACTGTACTTGGTAGATGTGAAAACCTGGAAAGATTGATGTCTCGACATTTTGGGGTGCATGTGTTTGGGGAAAGGGGCAGATTGAGCTTTGCCCTGGCCAGACAATGCACTGCCCTGTACATGTCATCTCTCTGAAGCCTGTATCCCAGCCTGTCAAAGCCTTCCAATCCCTGGAGGCAATACTCCACTGCCACCTCTGGAGCCCCTAATCAAGGTC